TCATTTTTTGGGGTCTGCTAATGGGCCACCCTGCCTATGAATAATGTTCCAACCTCAATTTTTCATCATATCGAATTGCGTAATGCAGGCGAGACCGCCGAGAGCGTTTCCCTTGTTTTATGTTTATGTTTATTGAGAAACCCCCCTTATGAGTTTTGATTTTGTTTTTTGCTGAATAAATAATAATAATTTGTCCTCCTATCCCCCCCCCCCCCCCCCCCCCCCCCCCCCCCCCCCCCCCCGGGCTTATTCAGCGACTGGCTGAGTCGTTTTTCAAAACAATTTCAAAATGTTAAACCCCCCCCCCCCCTTGAAAAATCCTGCATATGCTACCGATGATAACATTATCATCAGTAGTATTGTTGTTGTTATCATTATTGATATTATCATCATTATATATTTAAGTCAACACATGTGTGAAATCTATTTACTGTTTCTTTGTTTCTTCCTGCAGCATCTCTAGGACAAGATGGAGCTCCGGCAGAGATCCTATCTCGTGGTCCAGAGGCGATGGAGGCCTTCAAGCAAGCAGCGACAAACGGGACCAAGCCTATCTTCAGGACCAGACTCATGCTTGTGGGCCAGGACCGTGTTGGCAAGACCAGTCTGAAGAGGTCACTTACTGGCCAAGGGTAGGTCACAGCTAGAGTCTCTGATGAATATTAAGTGTTCAGTTCCGAAACATGCCACATCCATTTTCTATCACCATCTACATTCTTTGCATGAGGGTGATCCTTAAATTATGTAGAACCGTCACACCCTAATATTGCATAAATCGATTATTTCTATATTTTGCTTCATTATTCTATTTCTAGTTACAATTCAGGAGAGGTAAGCACAGACGGGATCGACACAATGGATGCCTGTGAAATCAACATCCAGAATGCAACAGGTTGGAAGGTACAAGAAGGGGAAGAGCAAGAGACATCTAAAAACACTGTCGGTATGTAAACGTCTTAAATCCTATTTCATTTTCCCTACAGAATCGGGGAGATTTAAAGCTTGTTTTATCAAGCGTCATTACATTGATCTAGGGATGTGTTGGTTACATGACTCTACTTTATATACAGTGATCAACTGTTTTAAGATGATGACGTGAATCTTACTCAAATGATTGGTTGAGAACGAACACGTGACCAGGCATTTATTTTGCCTAACACGTAATTTGGATAATGACCAGTCATTAGTAAAATCATGTTATAAAACAATGTTTTATAAAACAAATATAACATAATCTTATTAAACGTATAATACACATCATTTTGATCGGGCATTATTAAAAATCCCCACACTCAATACCTTCAAAACATTCCAAACACCCTCGGGCGTGTTAGACTGTTCCAAAGGTACATTGTGTGGGTAATTTTTACTAATGCCCTCACTGCTGTGTATTATTTGTATATTCACACTAGGGCTAAGTCAAAAACGTGATCAATTCCCTCTTGAAAATCCTAGATGATTCGTCAAGTCTCCAGGATAGTTACACACAGGCCCTGGCCCTCAATATCGCCAAGGTCCTGTGGAACAAGAAGAAGAGGGCCCAGGAAGAGAAGGTCGAGGGTTCAAGTCCCGTCATCCAGCAGCAGGAGGACTCGTCGCACAGCAAGGAGGATTCTAAGGATGATGTATGGATCACCAGTGAGACAGACAGCAGCAGTGATAATGCCGGCGACAAGCAGGTGAGGACAGGTTTATAATGCCTTGTCTGACATAGCACCATCAAACCTTGAAAAAAGGTTACCATGCAGATATAATTTGTCAATTACCGTACCGGTATTAGCATTTCCATATTAGCTAGCAATTTCTTGGCTTTGCCTAAGTATTTAACCTGCTTAAACATCAAGTTTTTAGAGTTTATCATCATTCTGAAAATCAGAAGGGTATCAATTTACGCTTTTACACAAAGTTAATGCCCTACTGGCTCTCATCAGATCATTGAAATAATTTGTTTGAGAGAAAACGAGCATATAGCTTTGGAGTTTAAGAGCAGTTACCGGTAAATGTATAGTCAAGTGAGCAGAAACTTTGGAGTGAAGCTCACAGTCGTGCACAGTTGGTCTTCCACAGTAATTAAATGGGCTCCCTTGATTGTCGTTATTATTATCAATATCATCATCATCATTGTCATCACCGTCCTCATCATCATTGTCATAATCATCAGTACCGGTATCAAAATTTTCATCATCATTATTATCATCATCTTCATCACCATCATTATCATCATTGTTATTACCATCATCATCATTACCATCAACATTTTTATTATTGATATTATCATTATCATCATCATCATTGATCGTCTTCAGCATTATTGTCAATATCATCATTTCTTCACCTTCAATATCATCGTCATAATCATTATCATCATCATCATTATTATTTTCATCATCCTTATCATTAATTTTTTTCTCCAATGACCTGTACTAGCAGCAGGCTGAGGCTGAAGCAGAGCAGCTCGAGGACCTGGCCAAGTCACTGGACGAAGAGACCTTTAACCTTGTGACCTCTCAAGTCGAGAGACTCCTCAAAGATGCCGAGGACGGCAAGACGGATCTCCTGGCAGAGAAGGAGACGGAGCAGGACGATTCAAAGAAAATCGTCTTGAGTATATGGGACTTTGCTGGACAATCTGTCTACTACACTACCCATCAGGTACTGTCAAGTCTGTTGACCTCGTATGTACATTGTACATGACTTCATGACCTGACCTCTTAGGGGTCACAGGGCCATAAGAATGTAGACAACCTAGAAATGTTAATTTTTTACTCAGATAACTTTAATATTGTTTGTTTGTTTGATTGATTTTATTTCTGCATTCAACAATATACAAATTCAAAATCAAAGCACAAAAATTCGAACAATAACAAATACAATGAATAAAATGTTTACAAAAGTAATTAAATAGAAAATCATGTACAATTATATCATACGATAAACATGTAAGAAGCATACAAATAAGATAAGAAATATATAGTAAATATTTTCCAATAAATTAGAGAGGTAATTTAGAACGCAGGAGACCACCATCATGAGTGTAATCATACTCGGTGAAGTCCATTTACTTGTCTGTCTATTAGCATGATAAGATGAACTGATGAACAAATATTACTTTCTGAATTGAAGAACACTTATCTATAATAAGTAGTTTGCCCAAAGGTACGACTAATGATTATGTTGGTAGACACATGATGAAAACGTAGTCACGCTCATCAAGTTTGTTATTATACTTTGCAGATACATGTAGGGTTTTGATTTAAAATCATAATTGTTTTATTTTTCTGTACCCATTTTTTCTATCTGCTAATGATTGGCACCATTAATACCAAATATATTATGTAGAATCTTTTGTAACATATACATGTACTTGTTAATGGCACCTCTGTTATTAGGATGAATATGAGTGTGTAGGTATTTGTGTAGTTTTGTGAACTAAAATTATTTACAGCATTATGAATTTCATTTTTTATTGTTGATTTCAGGTCTTTCTTTCATCTAGAGCAGTTTATATTATAGTCTTCAATCTAACCCATGAACTTGACGCTCCAGCACAAACTCAAATACGAAGAGGAGATGATACGGTAAGGATGATGTGGTGATAATGGACTGATGCCGGTGAATCCTAACAATTTAAATAATCAGTCCAAATATAAGGATTTCTCTCTTAGCGACAGAAGTTTTCTTTTTGCCTGGCTTTGATCGTATAATTGGTGTCTCACTTTGTTCATGCACTAACATTTTAATTGCGTTTATATAATAATATTGTGTATCGTGTTAAAATGAGTTGATAATGGACTAAGGTTACTGGAAAAATATCATGGCAAAAAATTGTACATTGCACAACGTTTGTATGAAACCAAAATAATCATTGTTTGGCTAGATTTAATAGTTTTGACCCCTTACAAGAAGTCATTATATTTAAATGGACATTTCTTCTGTACTTGTAACCATACAGGTAGAATATGCAGAGAGCGAGTTCACCAACCTTGATTTCATGGATTTCTGGATGCGTTCCATCCACGCTTACACCGCTGAGAACAGGAGCAACGCCCTGGACAACACCATGCTCTCGCCTCCCATCTTCGTGGTGGGCACCCACAGGGCTAGCCTCAGCTCCGACCCGGTTGAACAAGCCAGGATGGTGAGTTTGGAACTATTGCATCATTTTCTGCCAAAATTATGGTTGTACATAAAAGAAAAAGTTGTCAATGCATCATTCAAACTGATCTGTAAAACAATTAGAATTCCCCTGTGTCATTGAAATAGCAAGAAAAAAATACAGTACATGTACCTCCATATGTATCTTCAAATAGAAAATTGTAGTCCTTTAAATGTCAAATATAGGTAATGGGAATAACTTATTTATTCATGTTTGGCATGAGAGGCATGATACCTCTTGTTTGATAAACTAGTTTTGTTTTCTGTACAACTGTTATTATATACAAATATAGAATTATACTTATAGAAAAAAGAATGTTGTGAGTCATAGTGCAAACACACAGTCAATTCTCTGTTTTCTCAAATTGCTAATTGTAAATATATTCTTCTTTAAATCTGTATTTGACCTAATTTTTGTCTAAAATGCAGACGATTGAAACAACCGAAATTCGATTATATTCAATCGTTGGAATCTTGACATGAGGGGTGCATTTCTATACTTTATTGAATCTCATGCTGCCTCTGAAATATCATCTTAAAACAATTCATTAAGGTATTTCCCATCTTTGTTTGATATAGGTTGAAGAGAAGTTCCTTAGAATACGGCAGAATCTTTTGGGTAAGCCGTATCTACCTCACATCATACCATCATTCTATGCAGTAGAGAACAACATTGATGAGGGAGACGATGAACAGGTAATAATCTTGATGTCTCTGTCTGCTATGGACCGAACCTAAGACTGCACCAGTGTTTTGGATTACAATTTACATACAGAATGTGTGTGTGTGTGACAAACGTTGGCTGTGGCAGTCCACTGTTTTTCGCATATCAGTAGACGGAAGCAGATATAGAGTTATTTTACATGTTAATGCAAACAGTGAGGCTGCAGATATAAAAAATTCACGGTCATCATCCATGTGGGGGGGGGGGGGTACATGCACAGGGATAACCCAAGATTGGAGTTTGGAGTTTGGGCGCAGCACTAGAGAAAGCATGATCTCCAAGTATATTCTTGTCTTACACATTGGATATAGTTTAAGATCATGGTGTTGTGGGGAACTACGAAGCCTGTACGACTTGGATAGTGATTTTGATACGAAGAATACACTAAGGTAGAGGTATGGGGAGACAAGCCATGAAGAGCCTTGTTACAAAAATACAAATAGCTAGGCCTATTATCATTCCATAACTTTTTGAAGTATCTATATATCTTTGATTAAATTCCACTTTTTTTCTTCATGTTGGTGCTATGTCAGGTCACAAAGCTCCGGAAGCATGTGGAAGAGGTTGCGAGCAAGGAGCCGTACATGGGGGAGCATATACCCCTCAGATGGCTTCGGTTCCAGCAGAAGGTAGCAGATCTGGTATCTCAGGGTATCAACTACATGTCGTTAGACAACGTGAGTCACTAAATTATTAAGAAGAGTTGAAATAAATTTAAGTTTAAAGGGCAATCCAACCTATGTCATGAGTTAATTTTTATTAAAAGAAAGAAAAAACAAAACGAGAATGCCGCAAGTTTGAAATAAATCCAACCAATGATAAGAAATATGAGATCACTATATGTGAATCTTAAATTGGCAATTTGAAAGAAATTATAATTTGACCACCCTGACCAAATACATTTTTATTGACCTCCACCTGAAAGTCACACCATGCGACTTTTTGGTAGTTTTTTGATGCGTGGTACGTCACATGTGTTTTCATTATCACCAAAAAAAGAGAAAATATGAAAGTTTTGGGAGAATATGATAAGAAGATTTAAAACTAATATATATTATAATTGTAATCTGTAAAGCACACATAAACAAATCTTTGAGTTCATTTGAGAGCACTTATTCAGTTGGTGATGAAGGAATAGAGCTCATGCATTAAGGAGGTGTGTAAAAGTATTCATCTGCAATGATATATAAGTATAAGCACAATATATTATATTCTTGTCAGGTAAATGGAAATATATGACATTTTATCAGGCCCACCTATTACTCCAGGAAAAAGAAACAGTGCACTCACCTAAAGGCCATAAACTAAGGACTCTGAGAGTAATGTCTATTTGAAGAGATTAATTCCACAAGGAGCTAAATCCACTTTTGATGAAAATTTAGTCGTTGATATCGGAATGTTGCTCACTGAAGTGCCTGTTTTTCAACAAAATTATTCACCTAAACTTTGGGAGCAATTATGAAAAAATGCACCTTCTAATATCACTTTTCTATAGGCGCCTGTACAAAATCTGGTAAACAATTTCGCTTTACTCTGAATTGACAAAAATGAATTACCTCCTTTTGGAATTATGCTCTTCAATTTTGTTTAATACTTTACTTTTGATTTTCTTGTGGCATTACAGATGAGTGAGGTTGCATCCTCCGTTGGCATCAGTTCTGAAGCTGGCCTTCAGACCATGCTCCAGTTCTACCATGACCTGGGGATCATCATCTACTACGGGGGACCGGGGGCTTCAGACTCCTCCCTTAGGAACACGGTCATCCTGAGACCGCAGTGGCTGGTCGACATCTTCAGAAGGGTCATCACTATCAAGGATATCGATGATAAGGTAAGGTGTTGTTCAGTCCCTCCATTAGAAAAGTTTGATTTCTTGATTGATACTTGATGGAATGTGGTTTATCTAGGACCTGTACATGTTAATGTAGATGACTGTTCATATGTCATCTTTGGAATATATGTGTAACGTTCGATTGGAAGGGTTACTAGCTTGAGTACCGGTAATGGCGGAACATGATATCTTACAGGAATCATATAAAACCTGTAATTAATATACAAGAATGTACATAAAAGATATCTGCCAAATAAAATAATTTAGGGAGAAATAAATCACAAAAAGATAAGGAAATACAATTATACAACATTGCAACTATATCCGACTGTGCATATCATGAGGTGTCTATTTTGATGCGCAAAGGTGTAACTTTTGCTTTCAGTGTATGTCATCTCCAGTGGGTAACATTGGTGTTGTATGTTTGCTGGTCTAAACAACCTTTCTACTGCTACAAAAGTCAATCAGTATTCATTTTTTAAAGCCAATGTCAAGTTATTGAATGACAATTTTTAATTACCAGGGCCTAGCTGTCTTATAAATAGTTGCTTTCGATCCAGATCAATTGCAAGTCTTCCAGTCAATTGCAAGTTTGCAGTCCCCCATCTCTTATGTAGGCCTACATAGTTGTGATTAACATTAACTCTCTATAAGACAGGACCCAGAAAAGTAATGTTTACTGTATTGTTATTAACATTTTTCCTTTTTTTTAGTGGTCGTTACTCCTGGATGCTTGGACTAAGCTAGACGAGTACGGTATTCTGCAAGACCAACTCCTGGACCATATGTGGCATGATGTGATAGACCAGAAGGAAGTCCTGGTCGGACTGATGGAGAAGTTTGATCTCTTGTGTGAGCGGCAGACACCCAGTGAGGTAAATGGAATACTGTGATCAAAACTTATGTTTGTGTGACGTTACCAGCTGGAATTCTCTTGAGCAAACTACTTGTACATGTATGTGTAAAGGTCATGCGTTTGCAGCGATTCCAGCTCTAACTTCCTTGGCAAACTAAAGATAATGACCAAACATTCAGATCATGGAAAGATCTTTTGTCCAAAATGGGAGAGTTAGATTCTGCGCCTTTGTGACCAGGTTGCCTGGTGGCAAATAACACAAGAAATCATGAAATGTATGTTACTTTTGTTCCCTTTTAAATGTTGCGCCATTAGCTGTAAATGACCAACAAAATTTGACATTGCCAATGGCATTAATTGTCAAGGTTCATTACCACAAAGTCAATTATAAATGCGGCAAAAGTTGGAGTGATAGAGGCACAGTAATTTGTTATATGTGCTGATGACATTTGCTCCAGCTTTGTCAAGTCAACGATGTCCATACATGGCGTATTAGGAATAGGGTTGCAATTGGGTTTAGGTTTAGTTTAGGGTCAAGGTTGGGTATAGCATTTCATCCCGACTTCTAGAGAAGATAAAGACCTGTTGGAAATTGACTGCATAGTATTTGTTGTTGGACATTGACACCATGTTATCTCTCCTTGACTTTTTAGCTGCCTGGTGCAGATGAACCGTCCCAAGGAGTTTCAGGAGAGAGAAGTTACTATGTGCCTTCGAGATTACGGGAATGTCCCGATCAAGAGGATCTGATGGCTGAAACCAATGCATCTGTGGCCTTCTACATTACTTTCAATGGCTTTCTCCCTGGTGAGTACCCCATGCCTTTTTTTGTGTGTGCAGTAAAATGAAGATATAATGATAGTAAAAGAGCTCTAAGTTTATGTTGTAAATTAACATACATAAAATCCCATGGGATGCACATGGCACCTGCAACTTGTGAAGTTTATTCCCATGGTATATATTTTATACCAAATTTAACATTGACACAAGCTTTTTATGCCTCCGCCACCGAAGGTGGTGCCGGAGGCATCATGTTTTCGGGTTGTCCGTCCGTACGTCCGTCCGTCCGTACGTCCGTCCGTCCGTCCCGTTTGACCGTTATCACAATATCTCAAGAACCATTTAAGATTTAAACTTAAGACTCGGGAATAGTATTTATCACCATAGGAAGACGATCTGATTAGATTTTGGAGTACGTAGGTCAAAGGTCACAGGTCACAGAGGTCAACTTATGAAATTCCTTGTATTGAGTTTGTTAGCGCGATATCTCAAGAACCATTCGAGATTTAAACTTCAAACTTAAGGATAGTATGTATCACCATAGGAAGACGATCTGATTAGATTTTGGAGCACGTATGTCAAAGGTCAAGGGTCACAGAGGTCAACTTATGAAATTCCATACATTGAGATTGTTATTATGATATCTCAAGAACCACTGGAGATTTAAACTTCAAACTTAGTGATAGTGTGTATCACTATAGGAAAACAATCTGATTACATTTTGGAGCACGTAGGTCAAAGGTCAAGGGTCATAGAGGTCAACTTATGAAATTCCATACATTGAGATTGTTATCATGATATCTCAAGAACCACTGGAGATGTAAAAACTTCAAACTTAATGATAGTATGTATCACCATAGGAAGACGATCTGATTAGATTTTGGAGCATGTAGGTCAAAGGTCAAGGGTCACAGAGGTCAACTTATGAAATTCCATACATTGAGATTGTTATCATAATATCTCAAGAACCACTGGAGATTTAAACTTCAAACTTAATGATAGTGTGTATCACCATAGGAAGACAATCTGATTAGATTTTGGAGCACGTAGGTCAAAGGTCAAAGGCCACAGCGCACATTATGAATGCAAAAACAGCTTGTGATCGCGTTATCTCAAGAACCGATTGATGGATTCATGCCAAAATTAGGTCATGTTTGTTACTTGCAGAGCCAATGAACTGAGTAGATTCTTGGTTCATAAGGTCAAAGGTCAAAGGTCATGGGCCCATTATGTATGCAAAAATAGCTTGTGAACGCATTCTCATTAGAACTGACAGATGGATTACTATTTAACTCAGAACATCTTGCAGAGCCAATGAACTGAGTAGATTTATGGTCATGAGGTCAAAGATCAAAGGGTCATATATGTATATGAGAAATTGCTTGTAATCACAATATTCTGAGAACCTGTCAATGGATTACCATTGAATGTGAATTCAATTTTTTTTTTCTGTTTTGGTTTGTAAAATTGCTCTATAACGGAGGCATCATTTTCGACTGCGCGCAGTCGAATTCCATCTAGTTATTTTTAAAATCATTGATTATTATCTGCATAAGGCTTCCAAGTGGTACAATAAATCAGTGTCTTCAATATCTTTAGTGCAGTACCCGGATGACTGACCAATATTGTTTTTGTATTGCTCAGTCATCCGGGAACTCTAACTATCGATATCGATATCATATTGATATCACACAAAAACAGAGCTTTAATTTACAGAAGTAAGTCAAATTTGGTAATTTTGCTAGTCAGACTTATATAGATAATAATAATAATAATATTGTATGGCTTTGTTTTTGTGTGATACAAGAAAAAATTGCTCTCGCTAAGACAATATTAGACTCGGCTTTGACTCTTCCAATATTGTCATAGCTCGAGCAATATATTCTTGTATCACACTCAAGGCCATCCAATATTATATAAATATCATAAATGGCAAATATGCAGGGTAGTTATTGCTACTTCATACAAATTTTCATAAAAATCAAGTGGCGAACATGACATCTGCCGTCAAGACACTTAAAACTCCATCCTGCCTTATTGTCTTTGGAATGATTTTGTGCATTGTGCTTGATTTTAGACGGCCTGTTCCACCGCATCTTGACCCGAGCGGTCCGCTGGAGCCAGGAGCAAGGAGGCAGGGAGCCTCGGCTCTTCTTCAGACAAGCCCGCTTCTTTCTCAACGACGAACACGATGCCCTTCTCGAGATGGCACCTGCCAGACTAGCCAGAATAAAGGTAAGTGTAGATTAATGGAATAGTTGTCAATGTCTTGAGTATTTTAGTAAACATCTTTTTGGTTATCCTTTGGAAATTGGACAGTGACGGCCGCTATTTGTCCAGGTCATAAGTCATATTGTATATATGTGAATATATGCATTTTGATGATGCTTTTTTTTTAGTTAGTTAATTATTTATTTTACTTGATTTCTATGAAAGAATGTATATTAGTTTTGAGTATTGAATTTACAATTCTTTCTGCTACAATGTACATATATGAGGTATTCAGGAATAAATACCTGTAATCAAAGGTACCAATAGGAATATATTGGCCTTTTATAGACAGGTCACTCTGATTATAAGAACATGACTCTGTAGCCGTTATTGATATCAACTTTTGCAATTACAAGTTTACAAAATAAAGGATTGCAGTGAGCATAATATTGAGAATGAGTCATAATGCGTATTGCTTTCTTTTGAAGCTTTAGTAACCTTTCCATATCTTTTGTTATTACGATTTGCTGATGTGACTATACAGTAATTCGAATATGGTGTTATTAAAGTATAATACAATATCTTTTATTACACATCACATTTATATGATCATGCCACTTCAATTTATACTTAATTACAATACCTAAAAACTTGAGGATATCTACACGCTTAAAATTATGGTATTTACTTGTAAATTAAGGTTGCTAAAATCAATATTTTTATTCGTAAAAACCATATACATGTACTTAGTTTTATCCTAATTTAAAACCAAATAAAAAGTTTCAAAGTTTCTAGTTAAAAGACATCTTGTAAAACCTGGACATCAGAATGAGATATGAAAACACTTGTGTCATCAGCAAATAAAATAAACTTCAATTTATCAGAAATATTGCATGTGTCATTAACCTAACTAATGAATAAAAGAGGTCCATGGATGGATCCTTAAGGTACTCCACATTTAAGTATTTCGGTATTGGATTTGTGTTGAGATATATTTTTCTTGTATGCATAGGTCATGGGGTTAAGTGTTGACATATGTTTTTCGTTTACATTGGTCATGGTGTCAAGCGGTATACAAAGAGTATTCTTGTTTTCATAGGTCATGGTGTTAAGTGTTGATATCTATGATGCCGAGGACCAGAGAACAGATGCAGCTAAACAAGAGCAGGCCAATCAGGAAGCATGTGCCAAGGTACAGTTTCTGCTCATATATCAAGTTAAAATATCTGCATTTGTCATTATGGCTCATCAAATTTTAATTCAGTACCTTAAACAAATAAAGTAGATGTATAGGCGAAACTCACTTCCTCCACAATTTGTGACTACATTTGTTATGTAACCATGAGGTCATTGACTTCAAGGACTGATAAGATAAAAATGAGACATCAAGGGAAATTATTTCTATCGTGTTAGAAGTTAGAAGTCCCTTTTGAACAAGTTGTAATTAGAGGAGAGTTGGTTCAGTCAGGAGAGCATCTGCCTATCAAAACCAAATATCACTGGCCATCCCTGTAGCCTCTAAGTATTAAAGGCCATCTGTACTAGTTTGGCTAGGAGAGATTAGACCTCCCAGAGAGGTCACTGACAGGTGGCTATCTCACCAACTCAGCTCTCAATTAACATAAGAAAAAGAGGATCATGGGGGACCAATGGTCACCAATAAGGCATTATTTTCTTTATAGAGGGAGCAAGTAGTTACAAGTAGTACAATGGTGCTTTAAGCTTGCGAATATGGGTAGGGAACCTTGAAAAGCTGGAATTTGTCAAGAGATACAGTTCTGTACAACCTGTCCTAGTGCCCCCCCAGCATAAAGGCCATCTGTCTAAAGAAAGGAATGTGTTCTGAAAAATCTCCTGTGAAAGGCCATGCACCTGTGGCTGTCTACTGTCTATAATTTTTCATTTTCTTTCTTCAGGTACGTCACTTCCTAGACAGTACTCTGGCTGACCTTCGGCAGCTGTGCATGAAGAGGGTCCGTTACCAGCTGGTCGTCGCTTGCCCTTGCAACAGGCGCTGTGTGCCTCACGGGAAGCAGGCCTGCCTGGAGGACGGTTGCCTCCATTTCCTAAGCCTTGAGGAATGCCTCAGCAAGAAAGTCGCCATGTGCGAGTCGAGACGGATCCGAACCAATGTCTTTCAGAAGTGGTTTCCTTCAGGGAAACCAGCTATCCCTGGTGAGACCATCCATTAGATTTCAAAGGATACATCTGTAGGGTAGCTAAGTGAAATGAAATGTCACAAAAAGACGTGTCTGGATTTAGCAAAATGCTTAATTCTTTCAAAATCATATTGTCATGCCATTGAGGTAGAACCATATTTCATTAGGATACAACGATTTATTAGACTTAATATCACAAAACAAAAACATGTCACATTATAAGTTTTTATTCATCGTTGTCATTAACTATTTTTGTGTTTTTGTATTCTGGAAGCCTCTTTTCATGCCAAGATATTTTGCTAAGCTAGTTCTTATTGAAAGGTTGTTGGGTGATGGTTTTGTTGTCTTGTGTATATGTTGTTTATAATGTATGTTTATTTATGGGAGATTTATCTTCAATTTCACCATCTGAAAGACACAACTCTGTTTGAACAGGGTCGGCCAGAGTTGGTTTTGTAGGCAATGACAGAGAGCTGCTACATAGTCCAACCCACATCTATCTTTTGTAAATGCCTTCTAATACCGAAATGTGCTTTTTTTCCCCTTTCTCCTCTATTTCATTGCTACATACTCAGCCCCCTTGCCTGTCAAAGTGAGTACAATAGAAACCATAAAGGAGGAGGATGTGCCGTCATGGGTTCGTGTAGCAGCCAAGCTCCTCAACTCAGGCACAGAGAATGCAGACTGGCTTTCCTTAGCCTACAGGCTTGGTATGTCACATTTCATATTATCCATCAAGAATTGAGTTATATCTTCTTCTTTTTTTTGGGGGGGGGGGGGGAGATAGGGGTATACATATTGACATGTATGTATTATGCAGTTGCAAACAGTAGCCCTTCCAGGTACACATGTAACAATTAATAATCGTAATGATTGATGATGATGATGATGAAGATGATGACGACGACGACGACGACGACGATGATATGATGATGGTGGTGGTGATGATTATAATCCTATTGATTTTGATCATGATAATAAAATAGTCATTATAATTATACTACAAGTACGGGTGTAGTCGCAGAGGTACATGTCATTGTGATAACAGTAATGATATCCAATTTTCTATATAAAGTAACTGATGAACCGCTTTACATTTTTTTTTAATTCCTGACCTGCTGCCCTCTACTGCACAGGTTACAAGAATGCCAAGATACAGAAGCTGACTGAGGATGAGCCTAACCCGGCATTATGCATTTTACTTGACTGGTTTCAAACCAGCGGCAACACAGCCCTGTCTGTCGAGATGCTCCTCTCGTACCTGGAGCAGATGAAGAGGGATGATGTCATCGAGGTCATCGAGAAAGGTCAAGGTAGGTCAGGTCCCCGTTTCATCAAACTTGTTATCAATAATAAGTTACAGTAACTCTTATAAGCTACTGAAATCCTGGCATTTGATTGGCTAAGAGCAAATTTTTAATAGCAATTTAGCATTTGTAATTACTAACAAGTTTATGAAACGGGGCCCAGATTCTCATCTTTGTACAAGTTGTATCTAATACTGATCTGACACCGAGCTTCAGGTTTTACGTCAATCTTTGTAAACATTCATGCAGCGCATCATTGATACAAGAAACCCAATTATGAATACTTATATAAGATACATTGCCCCGTGTATCTGAAATCCCTGTACTCACTTTGACATAAAACCCAACAAGAACAACTGACAAATTTAAATGAATGAATTTCTAAATCCAGACTGTCATCTATCGAAAAACTTTTTAATGTTACTAGGCACGATAGCTCAGTTGGTAGAGCAGTGGTCTTGTAATCCGGCGACCTGGGTTCGAAACCAAGGTGATGCGCTAGTGCCTTTGGTAAGGCATTAATGTTCATTACCAAGTCTCTCGGAGAGGTCCTAAAGCCGTCGGTCCTTTGGTTGCTTACTAACAAGCATTTCTTCATGCTTTGTTAGCAACCACTACCACTTCTGTAATACAATATCTGTCCATATTCATCACAGATGTGAATAAAGCGCCCCCTACGGTGTTCATAAGCTACAACTGGGGTATCCAGGAGGACGTCACGAACCTTAGGGACTACCTTGAACGGACCGGTTTCCCATGCTGGATGGACATTGGTCAGATGGGCGGGGGTGACCAGCTCTACAATAAGATCTATGAGGGCATTCACAACGCCAAGGTACGTAGGCCTGGACTTTGCTTCATTTGTTTGCATGTCAATGAAGATATTTTCTGGAATCTCCATGCATGTATGTGGCCTAACAGGAGGGGGGAATACCAACTCTTAGATCCGTGAAAGAATTCCCAATGTTAAGTGTGACAATATCAAGGGTCACAGAGGTCAACTTATGAAATTCCATACATTGAGATTGTTATCATAATATCTCAAGAACCACTGGAGATTTAAACTTCAAACTTAATGATAGTGTGTATCACCATAGGAAGACAATCTGATTAGATTTTGGAGCACGTAGGTCAAAGGTCAAGGGTCACAGAGGTCAACTTATGAAATTCCATACATTGAGATCGTTATCGCTATATCTCAAGAACCACTGGAGAATTTTCACTTCAAACTTAATGATAGTATGTATCACCATATCATAATATCTCAAGAACCACTGGAGATTTAAACTTCAAACGTAATGATAGTGTGTATCACCATAGGAAGACAATCTGAGTAGATTTTGGAGCACGTAGGTCAAAGGTCAAGGGTCACAGAGGTCAACTTATGAAATTCCACTCATTGAGATTGTTATCATGATATCTCAAGAACCACTGGAGATTTAAACTCCAAACTTGTTTAAATTGCTCTATGGCGGAGGCATCATTTTCGACTGCGCGCAGTCAAAATTCCATCTAGTTTTTAATAGGCTAGTTTCCCCACAATGAATGTACCTACATGCAATTAAATCGATTCTGACCCCCATATCCCTTTGAAAGGGGCGTAGTGGCAAATATTGTAAAAATTTGAATTATCACAACTTTCGGGCCGAAATTGTAAGGGCCGGGGTGGTTCAGCATTTTGAAGGAAAAAATTATGTTTTTTGAATAGGCTAGTTTCCCCACAATGAATGTACATACATGCCATTAGATGGACCCTGACCCCATATCCCTTTGAAAGGGGCGTAGGGGCAAATATTGTAAAAATTTGAATTATCACAACTTTCGGCCGAAATTAGAAGGTCCGGGGTGGTTCAGCATTTTGGAGGAAAATATATTTTTTTTAATAGGTTAGTTTCCCCACAATGAATGTCCAAACATGCCATTAGATGGATCTTGACCCCCATATCCCTTTGAAAGGGGCGTAGGGGCAAATATTGTGATAATTTGAATAAACACCAATTTTGTGCCGAAATTGTAAGGGCCGGGGTGGTTCAGCATTTTGGAGGAAAATATTTTTTTTTTTATAGGCTAGTTTCCCCACAATGAATGTACATACATGCCATTAGATGGATCCTGACCCCCATATCCCTTTGAAAGGGGCGTAGGGACAAATATTGCAAAAATTTGAATTATCACAACTTTCGGGCCGAAATTAGAAGGTCCAGGGTGGCTCAGCATTTTGGAGGAAAATATATATTTTTTTAATAGGTTAGTTTTCCCACAATGAATGTCCATACATGCCATTAGATGGATCTTGACCCCGATATCCCTTTGAAAGGGGCGTAGGGGCAAATATTGTGATAATTTGAATAAACACCAATTTCAGGCCAAAATGGTAAGGGCCGGGGTGGTTCAGCATTTTCGAGGAAAATATTATATTTTTTGAATAGGCTAGTTTCGCCACAATCAATGTACATACATGCCATTAGATAAATCCTGACCCCCATATCCCTTTGGAAGGGGCGTAGGGGCAAATGTTGTAAAAATTTGAATTATCACAACTTTGGCCGAAATTAGAAGGTCCGGGGTGGTTCAGCATTTTGGAGGAAAATATATATTTTTTTTAATAGGTTAGTTTCCCCACAATGAATGTCCATACATGCCATTAGATGGATCCTGACCCCCATATCCCTTTGAAAGGGGCGTAGGGGCAAATATTGCAAAAATTTGAATTATCACAACTTTCGGGCCGAAATTAGAAGGTCCAGGGTGGCTCATCATTTTGCAGGAAAATATATATTTTTTTTAATAGGTTAGTTTTCCCACAATTAATGTCCATAACTGCCATTAGATGGATCTTGACCCTCATATCCCTTTGAAAGGGGTGTAGGGGCAAATATTGTGATAATTTGAATAAACACCAATTTCAGGCCAAAATGGTAAGGGCCGGGGTGGTTCAGCATTTTCGAGGAAAATATTATATTTTTTGAATAGGCTAGTTTCCCCACAATCAATGAACATACATGCCATTAGATGGATCCTGACCCCCATATCCCTTTGGAAGGGGCGTAGGGGCAAATGTTGTAAAAATTTGAATTATCACAACTTTTGGGCGGAAATTAGAAGGTCCGGGGTGGTTCAGCATTTTGGAGGAAAATATATATTTTTTTTAATAGGTTAGTTTCCCCACAATGAATGTCCATACATGCCATTAGATGGATCCTGACCCCCATATCCCTTTTAAAGGGGCGTAGTGGCAAATATTGTAAAATTTTAATTATCACAACTTTCGGGCCGAAATTGTAAGGGCCGGGGTGGTTCAGCATTTTAAAGGAAAAAATTATATTTTTTGATAAGGCTAGTTTCCCCTCAATGAATGTACATACATGCCATTAGATGGATCCTGACCCCCATATCCCTTTGAAAGGGGCGTAGGGGCAAATATTGTGATAATTTGAATAAACACCAATTTCAGGCCGAAATGGTAAGGGCCGGGGTGGTTCAGCATTTTAAAGGAAAATATTATATTTTTTGATTAGGCTAGTTTCCCCACAATGAATGTACATACATGCCATTAGATGGATCCTGACCCCCATATCCCTTTGAAAGGGGCGTAGGGGCAAATATTGTAAAAATTTGAATTATCACAACTTTCGGGTCGAAATTAGAAGGTCCGGGGTGGCTCAGCATTTTGGAGGAAAATATATATTTTTTTTAATAGGTAAGTTTCCCCACAATGAATGTCCATACATGCCATTAGATGGATCTTGACCCCCATATCCCTTTGAAAGGGGCGTAGGGGCAAATATTGTGATAATTTGAATAAACACCAATTTCAGGCCGAAATGGTAAGGGCCGGGGTGGTTCAGCATTTTGGAGGAAAATATATTTTTTTTTAATAGGCTAGTTTCCCCACAGTGAATGTACATACATGCCATTAGATGGATCCTGACCCCGATATCCCTTTGAAAGGGGCGTAGGGGCAAATATTGTGATAATTTGAATAAACACCAATTTCAGGCCGAAATGGTAAGGGCCGGGGTGGTTCAGTATTTTCGAGGAAAATATTATATTTTGAATAGGCTAGTTTCCCCACAATCAATGTACATACATGCCATTAGATGGATCCTGACCCCCATATCCCTTTGGAAGGGGCGTAGGGGCAAATGTCGTAAAAATTTGAATTATCACAACTTTTGGGCCGAAATTAGAAGGTCCGGGATGGTTCAGCATTTTGGAGGAAAATATATATTTTTTTTAATAGGTTAGTTTCCCCACAATGAATGTCCATACATGCCATTAGATGGATCCTGACCCCATATCCCTTTGAAAGGGGCATAGTGGCAAATATTGTAAAAATGTTAATTATCACAACTTTCAGGCCGAAATTGTAAGGGCCGGGGTGGTTCAGCATTTTGGAGGAAAATATTATATTTTTTGAATAGGCTAGTTTCCCCACAGTGAATGTACATACATGCCATTAGATGGATCTTGACCCCGATATCCCTTTGAAAGGGGCGTAGGGGCAAATATTGTAAAATTTGAATTATCACAACTTTCGTGCCGAAATTGTAAGGGCAGGGGTGGTTCAGCATTTTGGAGGAAATTTTTTTTTTTTTTAATAGGCTAGTTTCCCCACAATGAATGTACATACATGCCATTAGATGGATCCTGACCCCCATATCCCTTTGAAAGGGGCGTAGGGGCAAATATTGTAAAAATTTGAATTATCACAACTTTCGAGCCGAAATTAGAAGGTCCGGGGTGGTTTAGCATTTTGGAAGAAAATATATATTTTTTTTTAATAGGTTAGTTTCCCCACAATGAATGTCCATACATGCCATTAGATGGATCTTGACCCCGATATCCCTTTGAAAGGGGCGTAGGGGCAAATATTGTGATAATTTGAATAAACACCAATTTCAGGCCGAAATGGTAAGGGCCGGGGTGGTTCAGCATTTTGGAGGAAAATATTATATTTTTTGAATAGGCTAGTTTCCCCACAGTGAATGTACATACATGCCATTAGATGGATCCTGACCCCCATATCCCTTTGAAAGGGGCGTAGGGGCAATTATTGTGATAATTTGAATAAACACCAATTTCAGGCCGAAATTAGAAGGTCCGGGGTGGTTCAGCATTTTGGAGGAAAATATATATTTTTTTTAATAGGTTAGTTTCCCCACAATGAATGTCCATACATGCCATTAGATGGATCCTGACCCCCATATCCCTTTGAAAGGGGCGTAGTGGCAAATATTGTAAAAATTTTAATTATCACAACTTTCGGTCCGAAATTGTAAGGGCCGGGGTGGTTCAGCATTTTGAAGGAAAAAATTATATTTTTTGATTAGGCTAGTTTCCCCACAATAAATGTACATACATGCCATTAGATGGATCCTGACCCCCATATCCCTTTGAAAGGGGCAAATATTGTAAAAATTGTAGGGGCAAATATTGTAAAAATTTGAATTATCACAACTTTCGGGTCGAAATTAGAAGGTCCGGGTTGGCTCAGCATTTTTGAGGAAAATATATATTTTTTTTAATAGGTTAGTTTCCCCACAATGAATGTCCATACATGCCATTAGATGGATCTTGACCCCGATATCCCTTTGAAAGGGGCTAGGGGCAAATATTGTGATAATTTGAATAAACACCAATTTCAGGCCGAAATGGTAAGGGCCGGGGTGGTTAAGCATTTTGGAGGAAAATATTATATTTTTTGAATAGGCTAGTTTCCCCACAGTGAATGTACATATATGCCATTAGATGGATCCTGACCCCCATATCCCTTTGAAAGGGGCGTAGGGGCAAATATTGTAAAAATTTGAATTATCACAACTTTCGGGTCGAAATTAGAAGGTCCGGGGTGGCTCAGCATTTTGGAGGAAAATATTTTTTTTTTAATAGGCTAGTTTCCCCACAATGAATGTACATACATGCCATTAGATGGATCCTGACCCCCATATCCCTTTGAAAGGGGCGTAGGGGCAAA